CTTTGATCCGCCGTTGCGCATACATGTACATGTAGTTGACTTAACTTTGTCGGCCATCCGAGTTAAACTCCCTAACTATTCAGGCCAGTTAAGAGCCCCCTGTCACTTAAGTCACCCTGCCTATCTGTCTGTCTGTCTGTCTGTCTGTCCACATGTCTTTTTGACATTGTGTATCTGTTCTTGACTCAGTTTATCAATGAAATGCATATTACAGTGGCCTGTACGAGAAAACGTCGCTGTTGCCGCCTTAGCATTATGTGTGATCGGGGAAGCCTGTATCTCTCCCAATTTGGCTGTCCTGGGCGTCACGCAGTTATCCAAATGTGAGCACAACTGTGAATTATTCATGCACATGTGAGTTATGACTAAGATTTATATACAATATACAAACGGGACGTGAATCTCGTGAATGGAGAGCGCTAGTTCTCTGTCTCTCATATATATGTAATAGTATATAAATCATTTCTGTTGTATCGCGCGCGCGCGCGCGCGTGTGTGTGTGTTAAATGGTGCAAATTTACCTTGATATACATACAAACTAAATGATATAATAATGATCTGTTGTAAGATTGCAACTTCAAGTGACTTCGATTCGACCCGACTCATTTTAGACTTGCAAAGATGTACGAAGAGACTGAAAACTAATTATGTATAGCATCAACGATGCATGCCAATGAAATCTTTGAAATAAGTCATATAATTTATCACAAGGTTATATTTATCACGGAACTGTGGCGCATTCCTCGTGAACACACTTCTAGCGTTCGAGATTGGCCTGTCCAACAAGGGAGAATACTGGAAGAATTTCTTGCCGAGTTTGGTGGCGACGGCCTTAGCGTTCGTTATTTACTTGACTGGACTAAGGATATTCAAATTGGATACGAAGTCTGAAGGTAAATACGAAGTTTGAAGGTATATATTAATGACATATTTTGGTGTTAGGTATTTTCATATATTACTTTTATCAAATTCTACAGGTACTGTAGATGCTTTACATTTAAAGATGTAAAGTGGTTACGTGTATGTTTTCTTATCATCAGTTCTAGGTAAGGAATAAGAAACGAAATATTTCTGCATTGCTTTTTGTTTCATTAACACGCAATTTGAGATAATGTGCTACCACATATCGCAGTAAATTGGAGAACACAGAAGTAGACAGATGCAAATACCTGACACTAGTTGCCGGCGACAGTATAGCTTTATTTGCAAATGTATTTGTAATGTATTACCTATACAACCGTGGTTATAAATATCCGAAAAGATTCAGTCGCTATAAATGCGGCCTCTTTGCTTTACTTTTTAAATTCCATTCATAAAAAAGCACCCTGCGTTTTAGATACATTAATTATCCACGGCATCCTGACTATTAGAGACTATCGAGATCGTTAGCCATCGTCAGTTCTCTTAAACTCGGGATGAACGATTCTTTCACATTCCTTTGAGATATACTGTATATTTATATTATTTTATACAGCGGGTTCTGAGACATGCAGAAGTTTTTATTTATTGGCCTGTCATTTTGGTTGGCTAAAGCAATCCCGGACAGAGCAGAGTTATACCCTCACATCTCATATCCAAGACAGAAAAGAAACAGCTTTTGTCAATCTAAAAAAGCTTGTCAAGATAGTGCTGGTGAATTCCTCTGTCTTTGGCTTCAACATAATATATTCTCAGGTGAGTGTTGGTCCATCACGGTCCATCTTGGTCAAACATGGAATAAAAGACACCTGTTGGCAAAAATAGGAAAAATTCCCAAATATTTTAAAAAGAACATAGAAAAGTATTTTGCAAAACATTGCTATTTGATGCCAACTTGAGACATAAATAGGTTTTTAAAGTTGTAAAGATAGTACATGTAAGTAACATACATGTACGTAGGCCATGACCTGAGAATAATCAGGAACATGATCATAGAGCCGCCAACCTCCTTCAAATACTTTGAGGAAACTTCGTGAAAAGTCTCTGCAAGTTACGATTTTTTTCTAAGAACTGATAGCCGTTATAACCACCATATGATATATGCATTTATTTTCTGCCTTTTTGTATGGAGATGTTAACAACATACGGAATCCAGGCCGACAGCGTGCTCTCTCCGCAGCACATCCGGGCACCTTGCGCATTCATGACCAGCTTCAATGACACCACGGTCATCATCCTGGTGGCAGTCATCCTGGCCATGTTCAGCTCGAGACTTCGGTGGAGGAAACTAAAAGTAGACTTGTTTTCAAGAATGGGTAATGATATTTTGGCTTCCATAGCGACACCAGAAAACACCAGTGCTGATAGCCTACCCCATGTAGGGGCGGCTCCAGAGATATTTTCTGACAGTCTTCCAAATTATCTTTGTTGATCCATGACGACATAATGGTTAATTCGATGTTCATGATAGTGATAGTGTAAGATAATTTAATTGATATAATATATTAATGCCATATAACTCCATGTTTGGCACCGCATATTAGGAATTCAAAAATCAAAACAAACAACTTTGGCTTATCTGGCATGTTGTCAAACGACATATACTTGACTTTTATAGTATCCGATCTTTAGTTCCAAGATTTTATTATTATTATTTATTCAGGTATTGGTTTGGTGTGTGCTGTATTATCAGCCTTTGTTGCCATTGTCCTGGAGTTCGAGAGAAAGAAGGACTGCAAAGCAAACCATGGAGTTTCTTCGTTATCGGTTTTTGTTCTCATTCCCCAGTACGCAATGATAGGATTGGGAGAAATATTGACATTGGTATCCGGTATGAAAAAAAAGTAGAGAGAGAGAGAGACATCCAAATGACTGTGCGTTAAACGTACTTAAGTTAGTACCAGCCCATTATAAAATAATAGCTTACACCTTTGAATATTTCAAATTCTAGCTCTTTTTGAACACTTTAACTATTAGTATCTATAGAATTGATAACTTCATGAAAACGTATGATATATGTACTTCACAGAAAATCGTTTCAGTAGTATGTTGAAAATATTTTAATGTCCAAATTATTACCTCTAATTCAGGGATGCAGTTGGCGTACCTGGGCGCCCCTAAAGGACTTCGGTGCACGTCGCTGGGGCTTCTGAAAACTGCTTTAGGTCTGGGGGATTTCACTGCGTATGGTGTGCTTGAACTGCTAGAGCGCTATAATCCAGGTAGATATCTTGAAAACTGTCCTCACAAGGTATTTCAATCGTCTTTGTACAAGCCTGTCTAAAAAATCACTGGTGTTTCTGACGTTGTGGATAAAAAGAGTGGCTGGTATAAACACCTTGACTTGGTGCGTGAAGCGAGAATGCTTTGTTAATCCTAATAGCATAATTGTTGAGTAGGCAGATATGTGTTTCGACTTTTCCAAAACTTTCAATGAATGACCTTGCATTAAACCTTTACAATGATATCACTTATAAAGGAATCGGTATGTTAAGTAGGGTTTTAAGGTACTAAAAATATGGCATAAACGTTTGTTAAGATACTTCATGGTATATTACCACTTCATAGGATAAGAATTACTACTTCATGATAGAAGGCGACTTCATTGGTTAAAAAATAAGGACCCTTAGGAGACTTCGTAGTATATTACCACTTCATGGTACATTGTATCCAAACATGTTTCAGTTCTGGTTGGATGTGGAAATTAGGCGTAAAAGTCGATATGATGTTTCATCCTAGACCATGATTTCCAGAGTGACGCGTGTATTTGAAATGGTGTGTGTGTGTGTGTGTGTGTGTGTGTGTGTGTGTGTGTGTGTGAGGGGGGGGGGGATAACATTACTCACTCACATGATAGTGCGTATTTTACCTCGTTGGAGTTTAATGAAGCTGTTATTTTCAGATGTTCTCGTAGATACCCGTGAGATTAACTTCTATAAATAATGTACTTTATTTCAAGAGCTCCGGTCCAGTGACGGAAAGCATAAAGCTAGTTTTTTGTTTTACCCATTTAGTTTTTAGATTTGTCAGATTTCAGGACGATTAAAAACTGACAATATTTGGACGTTGAATCATGATCGGTCTAAGGCACTAGATGTAAAAGACAAACGAAGTGTCTAAATAAACACAGGGCATAAAACTGACCATGTGTGGTTTGATTGACGGCGCAGGTTTATAGATGTGACTAGTACACAGTAGCAAGAATGTATGTCTTTCCACTGTAGGTAGAGAACTCTGCTAGGCAGAGAGGTTTTAATTTTGCTCCACACTAGGTGTACATTAATGTCTTTAACAAACCGTCTATTCCATTATTCGTGTTATAGAAGTATCTCTTTTGTATTGAAACGGTCAACTGTCCAGATAGATGTTGGGGAGAATGAAATGCTGGGGATTCATAAAACTGGTGTAGAGCCGCATTTTGCAACTGCAACGCATTTTGCAACCAAAGAAAATCGTGAAAACGAATTTTTCAACCGGAACGCATTTTGCAACCAGAATTTTTTCTTAGTCAATAAATAGCTAGTGTGAATTTCTATAGAGGTAGAATTGGAATGGGGAGGNGTATCAATGAAATGCATATTACAGTGGCCTGTACGAGAAAACGTCGCTGTTGCCGCCTTAGCATTATGTGTGATCGGGGAAGCCTGTATCTCTCCCAATTTGGCTGTCCTGGGCGTCACGCAGTTATCCAAATGTGAGCACAACTGTGAATTATTCATGCACATGTGAGTTATGACTATGATTTATATACAATATACAAACGGGACGTGAATATCGTGAATAGAGAGCGCTAGTTCTCTGTCTGTTACATGTAATAGTATATCAACCATTTCTGTCGTATCGTGTGTGTGTGTGTGTGTGTGTGTGTGTGTGTGTGTTAAATGGTGCAAATTTACCTTGATATACTTACAAACTAAATGATATGATAATGATCTGTTGTAATATTGCAACTTCAAGTAACTTAACTGACTCGACAATGCTAAAATTAGACTGGCAAAAATGTTAGAAGAGACTGAAAACTGGATGTGTAGCATCAACGATGCACGCCGATGAAATCTTTGAAATAAGTCATATAATTTATCACAAGGTTATATTTATCACGGAACTGTGGCGCGTTCCTCGTGAACACACTTCTAGCGTTCGAGATTGGCCTGTCCAACAAGGGAGAATACTGGAAGAATTTTTTGCCGAGTTTAGTGGCGACGGCCTTAGCGTTCGTTATTTACTTGACTGGACTAAGGATATTCAAATTGGATACGAAGTCTGAAGGTAAATACGAAGTTTGAATTCCATTCATAAAAAAGCACCCTGCGTTTTAGATTCATTTATTATCCACGGCATCGTGACTATCAGAGACTGTCGAGATCGTTAGCCATCGTCAGCTCTCTTAAACTCGGGATGAACGATTCTTTCACATTCCTTTTAGATATATATTTATATTATTTTATACAGCGGGTTCTGAGACATGCAGAAGTTTTTATTTATTGGCCAGTCATGTTGGTTGGCTAAAGCAATCCCGGACAGAGCAGAGTTATACCCTCACATCTCATATTCAAGACAGAAAAGAAACAGCTTTTGACAATCTAAAAAAGCTTGTCAAGATAGTGCTGGTGAATTCCTCAGTCTTTGGCTTCAACATTATATACTCACAGGTGAGTGTTGGTCCATCACGGTCCATCTTGGTCAAACATGGAATAAAAGACACCTTTTGGCAAAAATAGGGAAAATTCCCAAACATTTTAAAAAGAACCTAGAACAGTTTTTATCAAAACATTGCTATTTGATGCCAACTTGAGACATAAATAGGTTAAGTTGTAAAGATAGTACATGTAAGTGACACCCGTGGATCATCTGAGAATAATCAAGAATATGATCATAGAGCCGTCAGCCTCCTTCGATATTTTGAAAAAAAAAAAAAAAAACATCGCGAAAAGTCTTATCAAGTTCCGATTTTTTTCCCTAAGAACTGATAGCTGTTATAACCACCATATGATATATGCATTTATTTTCTGCCTTTTTGTATGGAGATGTTAACAACATACGGAATCCAGGCCGACAGCGTGCTCTCTCCGCAGCACATCCGGGCACCTTGCGCATTCATGTCTAGCTTCAATGACACCACGGTCATCATCCTGGTGGCAGTCATCCTGGCCATGTTCAGCTCGAGACTTCGGTGGAGGAAACTAAAAGTGGACTTGTTTTCAAGAATGGGTAATGATATTTTTGGCTTCCATAGCGACACCAGTAAACACCAGTGCTGATAGCCTACCCCATGTAGGGGCGGCTCCAGAGATATTTTCTGACAGTCTTCCAAATTATCTTTGTTGATCCATGACGACATAATGGTTAATTCGATGTTCAAGATAGTGATAGTGTAAGATAATTTAATTGATATAATATATCAATGCCATATAACTCCATGTTTGGCACCGCATATTAGGAATTTAAAAATCAAAACAAACAACTTTGGCTTATCTGGCATGTTGTCAAACGACAGTAGGCCTAAAACGATTGTCACAACCAGAGCACTGTTGTCATTAATATAGTAACATCTAATACAATTTCCTGTTCACATATTGTAACGTTCAATGCTTATTTAGAGTGAAGGGTTCATTCTCAACTGTCTCAGTGACTACAAGCATACATAAAGATTGTGTATATATACGTGACTTTTATAGTATCCGATCTTTAGTTCCAAGATTTTATTATTATTATTATTATTTATTCAGGTATTGGTTTGGTGTGTGCTGTATTATCAGCCTTTGTTGCCATTGTCCTGGAGTTCGAGAGAAAGAAGGACTGCAAAGCAAACCATGGAGTTTCTTCGTTATCGGTTTTTGTTCTCATTCCCCAGTACGCAATGATAGGATTGGGAGAAATATTGACATTGGTATCAGGTATGAAAAAAAAGTAGAGAGAGAGAGACATCCAAATGACTGTGCGTTAAACGTACTTAAGTTAGTACCAGCCCATTATAAAATAATAGCTTACACCTTTGAATATTTCAAATTCTAGCTCTTTTTGAACACTTTAACTATTAGTATCTATAGAATTGATAACTTCATGAAAACGTATGATATATGTACTTCACAGAAAATCGTTTCAGTAGTATGTTGAAAATATTTTAATGTCCAAATTATTACCTCTAATTCAGGGATGCAGTTGGCGTACCTGGGCGCCCCTAAAGGACTTCGGTGCACGTCGCTGGGGCTTCTGAAAACTGCTTTAGGTCTGGGGGATTTCACTGCGTATGGTGTGCTTGAACTGCTAGAGCGCTTTAATCCAGGTAGATATCTTGAAAACTGTCCTCACAAGGTATTTCAATCGTCTTTGTACAAGCCTGTCTAAAAAATCACTGGTGTTTCTGACGTTGTGGATAAAAAGAGTGGCTGGTATAAACACCTTGACTTGGTGCGTGAAGCGAGAATACTTTGTTAATCCTAATAGCATAATTGTTGAGTAGGCAGATATGTATTTCGACTTTTCCAAAACTTTCAATGAATGACCTTGCATTAAACCTTTACAATGATATCACTTATAAAGGAATCGGTATGTTAAGTAGGGTTTTAAGGTACTAAAAATCTGGCATAAAATTTCTTTTAAAATCCTTAATATATAATCCGAGAAGAGTGCCCGACGGTTTTTATTTTACAAAGCAATGCTTAAAGTACAACCACTTCCATCTGAATAATAGAAAGAAGGCTATATTCAGTCACACCTAGAAGTGCACATCTAGCTCAATGTTATATAATCGGTTTCAATTTTGTTCCCTCTAGATTGGTATGACCATCACGACAGATGCATGAGCCTTAACTTGGGCCGCACTGACGACTACTTGCTGTTTTTAGTGGGTCTCCTAGTGGGTTGCTTTATTTTCTTTCTCATCGTGGCCCGGTACGTCAGCACAAGCGATCGTATTAGTTCAAGGACACGCCGAAATGCGACGACGTTACTGGGAGTGACGTCACAAAGAACTACATCAAAAGTCTCTGTAAATAATTCAAATGTTTATAAAGAGAAAGACTGAAATGCAGCCATTTCTGAAAGGTTGCCCATGCTCTTGTCAAATCTTACACGATGTCGATTTATTTATCTGCTGAGTGATGACTTTCTAGTGTGATGTCACTTGCAGCTAAAATTGCGTAATATTTAAATGGGGTAGGGCAATTCAAGACAATTATAAGAACACAGTTTTAACAAATACTTAGACCCAGTTGGAAATTGCATTCCAAGAAAAAATTATGTAGGCTCTGTTTGTAAGACCTAGAATCCTTCTTAAATACAACACAAATGCCACACCACCGCATAGCCTCTATTTATCTATAGCATATTTTCTGTTCCTGTAAATAATTTCCTATTCTTATATCTTAAGGATGATGGAAAGGAAAACCATTATCGTGATAGTCATTTTTGAATCACTCAGTACACGTTACTGGCATTATACGGTAGTTCTCCGAGCTTTCGGAGAACATGTCTGTCTCCTTGAGTGACCTAAATGAGTAGTATACGATATTTGTCTTAATTGCAGGTTTAAATACCAATTTCATCGTGTTATATGAATCATATAATTAATAATAATTTTGAATCTTTGGTTATCATGTTGACTATAATAGTCAAAGCTAGTTATAGCTCAATTGAAGTTCAATATCTGTAGCACCAATATAAGGACATTTAGGTGAAAAAAAAGGAAATATTATATTGACGACGCAGACTTTATTCAAAAGACCAGCTATATATTCGTTTTAAATCGATCACTTAATGTAAACTTTCTCATTCGCATCCTTGCACGCTACTGACTGCGCCGTGACACACTAGAAGATATAGTTTTTCTGCTGAACACAGTTAACAGGTACCAATTCAAGTTCGGTCGTGTCGCTTTCATTGATGGGTCTGCTCGGAAAGTTCCGAGTAAGACGACTTCAGATGCTTTTATTTTCATTCTGTTTTGGACTGAGATAACGTTTGGTTTCACCTTTGACGTTATAGAGCACGATGAGGTCCACAGCTGTTCACACCTGGATCAAAGGCGGTATACAACAGGCGTGTTTTAGTTTAAGGAAGATTTTAAGAAGACTGAATAAATTAAAAAAAAAAAACATTCAAGTGTGGCCCGATCTACCGGTGAATTCAGGATCATTTAGTGCCGAGTCTTGTAGTTGGATAGGCCTGATGTAAGTAAGTTCCAGTATAATATTTCACCTAGAACCAACGCTTTTTCCAGAATCGGGGTACTGGCCGTCCAAAATTGCCATCTGTAATTTCCTTCAAAATTTCAGGGCGTCAATCTTTCCCAAGTGCCGGGAGCGGGGGTGGGGGTGGGGTAAAAGTTAAAATAATTTTTAAAAAATTTAAAATAAAAAAAATTCATTGAAGAGGGAGGTTTAAAATAAATACATATAGTATATTTATTTAACTAAGGGCTTACTGACACAAACTTTGGGTACTTATGCAGATTATGCCTGCTTATATCGAGCTAAATTCTAAATAACGTCGCGATACTGTTGTGCGATGTGGTTTGCGGCAGTTATCCTCGGCAGTTGTCAGAAAATATATACATGTAGACTGAAGAACAGTTGATCGATGTAGGATTATTACGCCTTCTTTCTATCCTCTTCGTCATATCCAAAAAACAAACAAACAAAAAAACAAGCAAAAAAAAAAAAAAAAAAAAAAAAAAACATTGTACGCACGGTGCCTCCGTGCGTATGCCTGGTTACGTCCCTGCTATTGAGTATAGATAAATGGGGTTATATATATAGTTCATTGACGCACTTAGATAACTAACAACCTTTTGGTGACGTTTGCCTTCGCATCAAAGTACAGTAAGCGGAAGCATTATATTATTATTATAACCTGTAAATATATTTTGACCCTTCTTCCTTATCACCCTAACAAGACAGTAACAACTGATTGACCAACAGATACTGTATGACCTGGGTAACAAAATTATCGCAACATACATGCGCTTTTGTGTTGTTATTCTGCAGGTTGACCGTCGCTTCACCAAGCTAGACTTTTGATTTAGCACTGCAGTAATTGGGCATAGTAAACCAAACAGACTTTATTAACTGCCTTCCGCTTTGGGACCCTGATCAGTTAGATTCTTATCATTTTCTACTGACAGGCAGCTTTTGCGGCAGGGTTTGAAAACGATGTGGTAAGGCCTTCTACAACATGTTCATGTATAGTTACACTGTGAACAATGGTAATTAGCCACCCTTTTAATTCACTTGACACCTTCTTACGTGAAAAATACCTATTTAATGCTCAATGGAAGTGATCGTAAAAAATACACAATATGGATGTCACTTACGAATCAAGGATTTTGCTAAAGGAGGTGTACAAGGATATAAAACTTTGTCTCCTTTTGCTTGTCAAATTTTAACCCGTAGACGAAGAACAGTGGTGGAAAAACTGCTTTATTTTACTCATTCCAGTCGTTAAACCTTTTCTCTTGAGGGGGAAGAGTGAGAAAGGGATGATTGAGAACCCAAGTGATGTCTATGTACATGTACCCGTTGTGGGATTGTTATAATTTGAAATCGTTATCTTGAATCTTTCTATTTAATACGTGGAGTTTTAATGTCTCAAATCGTGCTACTCATACATGTATGTCTCACATCTTCTTACATCCGATAAATATGCGTGGCATAACCCGAAATAATCTTTGTTTATTTATTTATTGGTTTTATATTCCCTATAGCGTGCACCTCTGTCTATAAGCACGGTTGTTCTGAAATAAATCACAGCTATTTTGGGTACGGTGATCGTGATCAACATTAAAAAATTGACGGATCCCAAGAAAATCTTATACATTTAGTACCTGTTCTATTGGTGCACAATCCCTATGACAGAAAGCCATTTAACTAATAACATATTAACTGAAGTCAAATAACTCCTTGAGACACATGACCGCAATCGAGACAATTGGGATTTGATCATACTGGTATATCATTCTTCACACTTGAACCGTAATTAATTACTCGGAGAAAAACCTACATGGCTCCTAGACAAAACACTTGCTGCAGTTCGTTAGCCAATCTACAGGGACTGTTTTTGTTTTATCCAAGTATTATGTACATACAAGTAGACTTCTTTGACGTCACACTCACTACGCTACATTCTGCAGCAGGGCGGTCTACTGTGAATTCCTAATGGGAATCAAATCTCTAATCCATATCATGAAGATTAGAGGCACGCGCTGATAACACTGGGTCCATCAGCATGAGAAAGTGTAAATGCGAGCCGATAGAGAGCATTGTTCATTTATCAGTTCACGTTGATAACGACCTTTATTATATAGAGCCCTGTATATTCTAAACCAAGGGGTGAGCATTTATCTAACTGATCAGTTTATCATTGGTTATGGATTGGGACGAGAAAGGAATGGATCTGCAAAATTGATGTTATACAAGGTAAACGGACCTTTCACTGGTTACAAAGTGATGGACCTTCTGATGCAGACGTACTAGCAAACGCTTAGTACCAACATGACGATACGAAAATATGTCAGAAGCTCACGCTAGCATAGTAGGTCCCAAACAGCACTACAAATTTATGTTTGAAAATTAAATGTCAACGGCCTACATGTACCAGAACATGCGGGTATGATCATGTACCAGAAGTGTGATATCAACAAATTACTAATCACCACATGTTGAAAGTGATTGACAAAGTTTAAATGTCCTAAAATGTACAGAGGAGAACCTGTTGGTCCATTGGGCACAAGGTATCACAAAAGACCGGGGTACGTGGGCGCCGCAAAACTCGGCGACCCCCGCGAAGTATTAAGAACGAATATAAGGACACAGTACGGAGCCTTGGCACGGACGAGGCTAAATGAAAACGAACGGCGAAACGCGGAGAATGTTCATGACAGTGACGATGACACGGATGAGGATGAGAATGAAGGCATTAAACGCGTACCCTCAAACGTGAGCCTGGCCAGCGTGGATCAACAGAAAAATGACCCTGGGAATAGAGGGTCCTTACGGTCTCTGGAAGGACTCACTGACGATGAATTAGGCGATATGAGGTCGTCTAATTTGCCGTTAAATCCGGCTGAGATACGACGGAATTTATCAAAAAGGCGAGCCAAAAAGAAGACCATGCAGATGACTATTTATGCTATTGTATTTTTCAATTGGCTTGCTTACCAGGCTCTTTTTGTCAACTTCATGGATTTTACAGAAGATTCCTCCGTCGTCTTATTCACGGACAGGGCTGCAGGAGCGTTAAAGGATTCATACGCTAGTAAGTGTTCGTGGAGCACAAACATACACTTCGAGTTCGCAAGCCAACTATATGGGCAATTTTGTTTCTGGAAATACACTCTTTTTTTTATAAATGTCTCCATTCAGATAGGCCCCTAATTTTGAAAATAATTCCACACTTGGCAACAACGCTATTGTGTTTTCCTTGATGCACTGTTTATTTTTTGTTTTCCTTTTAAAATAAAGCAGAAGCTTCTGTGTGGGTTAGGGCTACAATTAAAATATTTTTCTGTCATTGTGCGTAAAACAGTAAACCATATAGTGAGGAAACAATAATTTGTTCATTTAACAATAGCACGACAATACCTAAATAAGACAGACACAACTTTTTACCACAATGTTCAGGCTTAACCTGTCTTCTGGCTGTATTTGGAGGTGCCCTGGCTGATTCGATGCTAGGCAACGTTAATGTCCTCCTTGCGGGAAATGTTTTGAGCCTTATAGGTAAGAAATTAAAATGAACAGTGAGAATACTTTCGATAGGCAGCTGTTAATGTACAAGTTCAAAGTAAGCTGTTAAAAGAAAACCCTTATATTCACATAAGCTGTACAACAGGTAATATTTTGATGTTGATTTTCACATTAATGTGCTCTAGCTTTGTCATCATTTTAATTGTATTATTATTATTTTTAATTATTATTATTATTATTATTATTATTATTATTATTAAGCAAGTCTGTGAGTATCTTTTTCTTTGGCTGTTTTCAATTTGCCATCGTTTCAATTTTAGGTTGTATAATTGTCTTAGTGTTGGCCTGTTTACCGAGAGAGGTAATGGAATTTATCATTATACAAACAAAAATATTTTATCACAATTATTAATTTTTGTTGTTACTTTCAATGTCAAGTCGTCTTGAGATAAGTTTTGATAACCAATGTGTACTAGTACAAGAACCAAGAATTGAGCGCCCCAATGTAGTTTTAGGCAAAATTTAGCTGTGAATATTGCTAAAAAAGCATTGAAAACATCAAAAATATATAATTTATTTTGAAATGCGCAACGACAGTTTGACATTGTTGCTAGGTAGATACCTTTGAAAATAATTTTTCTGCATTCGCCTATATATCATAACGAAATAAATACATGCTTAATACAACACGCTTCAGATAAATGGCGGAGATCAGTATATTTCTGTGAGAAATGCCACCTTCATCACTGCAGTGTGTTTAGTTGGGGACGGTCTTGGTGTTCAGAGATCCATTCTGTTTTCCATAGGCCCCAACCAGCGGCGAAATCAGCAGACGAAACGTGACATCATAAACTGGTAGGTTATTTGTATGACGCTCAGTTGGTCTTTTAAAGCCTAAAAATAGAGCGGCAAGTGATGATATCGAGTGGTGACTGTCACAATTTGAAAAAAAAAAACAACAAAAAACGCCATAAAGTACACGAGTCTCAGCGAGTGACGTCAGAAGCAAGGAACTAATTATGTAAGTTGGCGAAGATAGAATCCATAGGTTTTGCCATAAGGTTACCATTTTCTTCTTTGAATTTAGGTTAAAACTCGGTGTTCTTTAATCATTTGTTTACTTTTTTGTTATGTTGAAATTAGGTATAATCACTGTTCTTAAAACATTTTAAACTTTTTTTTTGTTAACTTAGGACATACTTTTTAGTAAACCTGGCCTGTCTGATACCTTTTCTGTTAAAAGATGTGTTGGACGTAGTTACATGTAATAAGCAGCTGGACACCTTGTACTGGTGCATAAGCTTTTCCCCAGCAACTGTTCTTCTTGCCGTAAACCTACTTTTACTGACCTACAGGCGAAAAGGGTTTAAAAAAGACAAGAGCAAAGGTACGTTTTGACCTTTCTTTTAACTTTCAATTTCAATGCCGCAAACATGCGAGTTTTGGAAACTACTCGGGCACATCGTTCAGAAGCCGTGGTTGACTTAGCGTCTTTTCATTGGGAATTGGTGTACTTGAATTGTCGAGAAAAGGCACGTGCTTTGGGCGCCTTTTAAGGGGGCGTCACTGTGAGTATTTTATAGTGAAGCTGGTTTTAAAAAAGCGTTTCGGGTGCTTACATGGGGGGGAGGGGGGGTTAGAGCTTGCCATACTTTAGACGCTATGTTTTGCAAATACGTCCCTCCATCTTCATAATTATTGCAGAAAAAGACAAGTCAAACCTGGTTAAGGTTGCGCAGACTATCTACTCGAGTTCCATCCGGGGATCTTTGACGAATGGAGGTAGCACAGCGAACAAGAGAGGCGCCACCAAACCGTATAGGCCTCTGAAGAAACAGGAGCAGATAATAGAGGAAAAACGTAACTTGACAAGGTCGTTCATAAAGCTTGTGACAGTGCTGCCTTGTATTTTACTGGTGCCTATGGTCTACAGCGAGGTAAACCGTTTCTTTTCTTTTTCTTTTTTTGCGTCACTATTACAAAATTGACATTAATCACATAAAGCGAATTGTTTGTATTTCTTTACTGGAATCGTATAATTTAATTAGCAAAATTATTATTTAAGTAATTCTGAGGATTAGCCATATTTTAATATTAACACCATGAACACCATGAACACAAACTAATTTCCATAACGTGGTATTTTTCGCACTTTCATAGGCGATGTATGTGTTTGAAAAGCAGGCCAAATGCATGACTGGGCTCACGATAAGGAACCGTATGGTTCCCTTTGGTTGGTACATACAGTACGGTATAAGCGTAGTCTTCATCCCGGTGTTCAACTGTGTTGTATATCCATATACTCATAAAAGATACGGGCCGTCACCAATCGCAAGACTGAGTAGGTGCATAGCAGAGTTGTTGCTGCCTTTTTAATTGTTTTAAGATAATTTTTATAAAGATAAAGTGGCATGTTTAACTATGTTTAACACCAAAAAGGGGCATGATCAAAGAGTATGGGCAAATGTATTTTGTATCACCATTGTCTTGCTTGTGTGTATAATTTACGATAAATTTGATCATTACAAAAATTTTTAACGCTTATAATTGTGTACACAATTCTCTCAAAGGTTGTTAACTCTCTCTCTCTCTCACATATAAACATGCACACGTGCGCGCTCATTCGCTCACGCACACAGATGTGATATCTCATATGCAATTTCTCCTACTTTGTACATTACAGCCTTTGGGAGCGTGCTGTTTATATTGGCGATACTGGTAGCCATCTTCGTTGAATCTGCTTTGGACGAGGCAGGCTGTGGGAGAGTTAGTGCGGCGCAACTCATCCCACAGTGGACGTTACTTGGGTTCGGAGCATTATTTATTTTCCCCACGGGTAAGATAGAACAGGGACGAAAGAAAATTACAACGTTAGGTTTGATACGAGGATTAGATTCAACATTCAGACTAGATGGCATCTACTGTATTAGAAGAACATAAGATTGTTGTTAACTAAGAAAGGAGTTTTTTGATGACAAGTGTAAATTATAGTACAGTCGTAAAAATAAGTTACAAACAATCATTTCAGGTGTGGAGTTTGCCTACATGGAGTCTCCAGACGGCCTAAAAAGCACAATTGTCGGCTTTGTGTGGACCACATATGGAATTGGTCTCATTGTTGGGCAGGCGATGTTGAAATTTGTACATAAAAAATTTCGAGGTATAGATGAACGCGTTTTCACACTTTCCCGACAATTTGATTTGGTTCTCTGATTATGAAATCTTTGAAAGCACAGGGTTACAACAATGTTTTAACGCCAGGGGAGGGAAAGAAGAATGAGGATAAAGTAGATAATGTCTTAAAAACTTGATCTGGTGTAATTGTAAATTGATTATCCATGTCTGCCCCCCCCCCTCCACCTTTAAGTTTGATCTTCCATGCAGTAAAATCACAATTTTTACGAACCTGACGCCATTTGACTCGTTTTTGTCTACTTCCCATCATTGTTATTAATATTTGTGAGCGAATTTGCACTCGGTATTATCATATGCATATAACCCTTTTTTTTTCTATTTCTAGACGAGGCCTGCAAGTCAAAGCACGGATGCTCCAATCAACTGCCCCCTCTCGTCGCTCTTCTCATATTTCTAGTGGTCGGACACGTGATCTTCATCGCGGGGGTGTACTTTTACAAGCAGCCTCCCCCCAGGTCCCAGGACAGATCTTTGAACCAGAACGACAGCCGAGAGTCGCGACGGCGTTAGACATCCAGTGTCGAATGTTATAGAGATTATAATTGCACATGTACATGTATTTTCCAATTAGGCAAAGCTGAGCTAAGGAACGACTGGATTTTCCGCTTTGCTTTAGTTTCTCGGCATAGCCGCGTTCGAAGATAATACTCATGGGTTATTATTATTATTATTATTATTGTAAGTAACATAATTAAATTTTGGGTTTAAACAAGAATAATTGGTTTTATTTTTTCTCCCAGTTTGAATCCAATTCAAAGGTCTGTAATTATTCAGTTTGATGTAGAAAAAATTACTTTGATGGGACTTCGTGGCATCGTCCATCATAAACTCATATGAAAAGAACAAATAAAGGATATTCAGGTATACCGCGGAAAAATCGGATAGAACCTTTCTCCTTAAAATAAAAAGGAAAAAATAAAGAAATAGTTATGGGCCACCGACTTTCTTTTTATTCTTTCAGTCTTTATTAACAGACCATTTTCACCGATTTTGCCCGTTTTTTTTTTCTGGACAAAATGTCTTGCATTTTAAGTGTGCATTGCTTAAAGAATAAGATAAAACTAGAAACCTAGGACAGTGATCGCATGATCTTTACTAAGACTTTATAGAACTACTGTATATAGAAAAGCACTAAGAGTTAAAGAGCGCAACCCTCCGCCAGGGAAAATTGTGGTACATGAAAATACATTCATTGTACGACACATTCATTACCTATATGACGCAATGGTGAAGAATCCTTATTTTTACCAATATGAATTTGGTGAATGTTGATCAGATCACCGCCAAAATCTTAACACTTACAAGTCAGTCAACTCCAGACAAATCCATAAAATCCATCTATAACTTTTTGGGTCAAGCTGGTGACGAACGTAAAAGTCATAAGGCAGTAAGAGCGCATTCTCAGAGATTTAGATCGATCCAACTAGATCGACCTAACTCCCTGGGGGTTCACGCTAAATTGCTGTCTGCCGACCGCGCACGGAAGTTAATTACCCCCTTACAGCTTTTAGTAGGCGGGAAAGTAAGACGGCTAAGCTGACAGTAATCTAGTGAGATTCCCCACGGGGATAGATCGAACTGAAATCTGTGGGAATGGGGTCTAAGACAAAAAGAAAGGCAACAAAGAAGACAAAAAGACAAAAACTGATGAAAACAGGTAAATGTTTAACCGGTAATATCTGATTCAGCATATGCGAAGACTGTCACATGTCCAAAGTAACAAGAAATGGACTACAGCTCCTAGTGGACTAACATCTCTGTCCGATTACCTTGAGATAAGGAAAGTTTAAACCCTCTCAAATGTAAACACACAGGGTAAAGTGACCTGGATAATAAACTTCACCCCCTTCGTCTTAGCAATGAAACATGGCTGCGCTAATCACAGGTGAAGACAACAGTAAGGTGCCAACAAAACAGCGTCCTGCTGTTTATATTCAAAGATCACGCGCTGACGACCCCGAGTATGGGTTCCCGGACGAATTCATCGAATTGTGTGAAGAACATTTTGACGTTTTATATGAAAAAAACATAACCGGTAACCCTGAGCTAGGGAAGAGGGTCGTCGGGGCCTATAACCGAGGTCCTAGTATGCCGATTACAATTGACGAGTTGTGGAAGTTTCCCAACTTGAAAATTGTTGTTTGCAGTGGTATTGGCTGGGATCATATTGATGTCCGAGGATTGAATGCACACGGCATTAAAGTGGCAAACAACCCTGGGGTCTCCAGTAACGCAGTGGCTGACTTTGGGATAACTCTGATGTTGGCGTCTGCTCGTAGGCTGCTGGAAGGTAGGGTGAGAAAAAGAGAAACGATGTTCTCAAAGCCTAACGTGACATAACGCTAGTGCCGTTATCAGTAAGTTAGTGGACAGGACACAAGATGTCTGGTTAGGGCCTTACTGATAGTACATGTATAAAACATAATGCATATACAGAAACATCTGGTCTACTTGGATAATGTATCCCTATTCTCATATGGTGAAGTTACTGGGTATACAGGTAGTTGCCTCCTTTGGTAGAGGGGGGTGGGGGGTGGAACTAGCATTCACTAAGAAGACCCGAATACACAATACACAATTTTTTTAAATCTCTGCATGTGTTAAAAATCCATAATCATTGAGCAATCTCTTGAGACATACCGCATAGTGTTGAATGTTATGCATGTCACCACATTCTCTCAGTTTCTCGCACGTGTCTCTGTTTTAGGAGTGCCAGTGGCCATGGGTTCAAAGCCGTGTCAGAAATTCAACGTTAACTGGCTTGGCAATGATGTTTCCTTCACTTCCCTAGGGATAGTCGGGATGGGAGATATTGGTAGCAAGGTGGCAAAGAGAGCAAAGGCATTTGATATGGAGATATATTATCACAATAGGAATAGAAAGTGAGCGAACTTCAAACGCGCTATTCTAGATACATGTATATCAGTGTTTTTTTTTTTTATTTTTTTTTTTTTTTTTTTTTTGAAAGTCACTGTAATCACTATACTCTAAAGGAAAGTAATTTGCTTATCCTATATTTAAATGATCTAACGGGTTTCGAAAATCGACAATTACATTGCCAAGATGCATTCTCCGTGAATTCAGTAGTTTTAAAGATGCTTTGTCTCGATATTATTTCCGGGTCAAAATGGATAATTTCCCATTTTTTATGTTATAGCGTAGCAAACAAAGTGCATTCATCTTTTTCTATTATTTTGTCATACTTTTAGGCCTGAAGAAGAAGAATCATCTGTCGGTGCAACATATTGTCCAACGCTGGCAGACCTGCTTCCACGTTGCGATTACGTCATGATCACGTGTCCTCTTACTTCAGAAACAGAAGGAATGTTTGGAGAAAATGAGTTCAAGTTAATGAAACCAAGTGCAACATTAGTAAACGTTGCCCGCGGTAAGTAAAATTTTCAGTATTACCGGTACTTTTCTATTCTATTTTTTGTCTAGATTTGGCTTTGGTTTTGCAGAGCCCTTGGCTGGTTTATGGAAATTATTAATTGTCTTGTGATAAGAGTATATATAATAAGTTACCACAGGTGGTATATACATCAAGTTCCTGAAAGATATATCGCATTTACCTTTAGACAAATACTGTGTGAGTAAACATGTACATGTGTATCTCTCCCAATTACTTAGTGAAGGTCATCAGTTCACCATTTCAAGTAAATACACATTTAACTCATTCAGTCTACGATTGGCTCTTATGGAGATTTGTCTTGTGAGTGCCGTAAAATAAAAATGTACAAATAATTATAAATGCATATCCATGTCATATTAAAAAATGTTGTGAAGCCTGCAAATGTCCGATGTTTCATCCTCTGTACTTTCTTACAACAATGTACAAATGCTGGTATCTCAAGCTAAAAATGAATTATTTTGAAACAAAAATAAAAAGATAAATTTTAAACTATAAGTTATAGTTGAATTAATCAATTTATTCATTATTACAAAAGGCATAATTAGTCTAACCTCTTTATTACATGATAAGGTGAGATAATCGACCAAGGAGCCCTGTACACCGCACTGAAGAATAAGATAATCAAAGCAGCTGCATTAGATGTGACGTACCCAGAGCCTCTCCCCAGGGACCACTCCCTCCTCACACTGCCAAATATCATCATAGCGCCTCACATGGCATCTGCCACCGCGGAAACCAGAAAGAGGATGTTGCCCCCATTGGTAGAGACAGTCCTAGCTGTTGTCGAAGGAAGGCCTCTGACAAATGAGGTTATACTATGAACACAGGCTTAGGAGATGGGGTTGGGAGGGGGGCAGAATAATCAAGAAGCTTTAGGAGGGGGATAAGGCTCCTGTCCATTTATACAGCGAGATGTATATTTAAATAATAAATCAAAGTGGAAGTGTTCAAGTCCAAGTAAATGATGTTTGTCGATATTCCATCCGTCAATGTTTTTTGATAAAGGGGTTAATATCCACCCCCCCCCCCACAAAAAAAAATAAATAAATAAAAGAAAAAGAAAAATTGCACGTGCCCGATGAAATACAACGCAATATGACAAAGGTAGCGCCAACTGTGAAAAATGTCTCTGTATGCAACATCGGACTTATCACAGGTAATAAGAAATAATCAGTGTCAGTGTATTCATGTTTTAAACGTCCATGAGAACAAGTGCATGCCATTATAAAATAACCGCGGTGTAGTAGCCTTTCACAGATGATACATATACGAATGCAAAATAAAAATAAATTCGAATAAGACTTCTGGCAATTACTGAAACTGTTATTTGAGGCTTGTGAAATGTGTCAACTGTGAAGTATGTTATTATAATTATAATAATTGTTTTGCTTTTCAAAAGAAAAATGCCATTGCAAGCTTTTCAACTTAATTGTAATATCTAACTGAAGTGACGCAGAGAGTTGGAGTGGTTGTACCACCTACCAAAGTCACAGGGTGGATTTTTTCATCGGATATCATATAAATATTTCTCTGGTCAATCAACTGCACTTTTCCATGCTGCAAGAATTCATGTAAAAATGGTGTTATCTCCCAGCTGACCTCTGGTAGAAAGCACAGTGGCTGATTGCAACAGGCTCAACAAACACATTTTGACAATTTGACACATTCTTATATTTAAAGGCACGCTAACAAAATGTTTTTCTTATCAAAACGTGCCTTTATAAACAGGTCATTTCCAACAACAAGTCAAAATCTACATTGTACGACCGGCAACGTGTCAGTTCTGGCAGTTTCGTTTGAACGCCCCCCCCCCCCCAATCTTTTCCCGTCTACTATATATAGCGTCTATGTCTAGATAATGGCTTAGGTGCGACGAAAGAAAAGGTTCAAATTATTTTTAAAAATTATTTATTTTTGACACGTATGTAAAATAATCTTATAATCGTGGATTAGATATTTAGAATACAATACAGAAGCAATATTTATTTTTAAATATTATTTAAATATTAAAATGTCAGAAAGTCTAAAATTATAACATTATCTGAGTAGCTAGTCACATACAAAAAATAAAATGTACAGCAATCTTATACTACTAGTATCATTACCTATCGAAAAATATTAGTTATAATTAAAATTAAGTGGCGGTATTTATAGTTGGCATATATACATAAAGCTATATAACATAACCTGACAATTGAATGCAGTGGCTGCAACAAGCATAAAGATACCCGTTGCAGAAATTACATTTGCACTTAAAAAATTTATTTTTAAACATATTTTTAACAATTCGTTTCATACAAAACTGTTTAATATGTATGACAATGACACTCACATCATGAGTAAATGAATTTATATATTCAAGAAGTTAATAATTTTGTACCTGCTTAGCTACATGTGAAAAAACAGACAATCTTGTATATGAACCCACATGTGCACAACAAAGGACAATGATGCTGTGATAGAAATGAAAAATCTGTTTGTTTTTGACAGTACATAAACTTAGGATCAATTCCTTCAAAAGTAAACTCTTAATCAAACTTTTAGACTACATTTCTGGTTCAGTGTGTTTTTATTACAGAAATAACCTTCTTTTCCTGTTGTGGTAATGAATATTCATCTGGAAAGCTTTTGCTCACTTTGCATTCTTGAATCCAACTCCTTCCATGCCAACAATTGCCAAGGTAGCAAAGAAGACATTACCAAGCCAGCTTTGGTTCAGTTCTTGTACTGGCTCTGAACCCATGACTAGCTTGACACCTATAAAAAGTATTCATCAAGTCAATAAACATTTAAACGTTAAAATAACCTTCACTTTTAAATAATGAATGCACCTTAAGTGTGCATTACAGGAAATAATTGACTAATTCACTAAAACTGCACTAGTAGTGTTTGGCTTGACGATAACCTAAACACCTTTCTCAAAACATTCCCATGTCATTTTACTCGAACGGCGCAGTCTGTCGGTTTAGTCAATTTGTTTACCTGAAAAGAGGCTTGCGCATATGATAAGATTTACTCAAGCCCCTGCTGCTTGCATCGCTCTTACGCTGACAGCAGCAAAAAAATCTCTATAAAATATCGTTTTACGCTGTGAGTAAGTAGAATTTTACCAATATGCGTAAATGAACAGACACGTTCGCTCCGACACACACGCGCACGCTCGCCGACACGCGCAGACGCACTCACACACTTACCAGTAATAAAGCTTCTGGCAGATGCCAGCATGAGAGCCATGGCCACGTTGCCATTCTGTCATTTTGAAGGTCTCGAGTATTGGACACCTTTATTCTACGTCTGTTGTAACCCGCAACGTCCATAGGCTCCACCCTTGGCCCTAAATTAGCGACAGCTTGCAGGTTAGGAGCAAAGGAAAACTTTCTTCAAACTACTCAAGATCTTTGTCAACGAAGGCACCCACAATGTTTTCAGGTTTGGATTGGCCGTGAAATCGTCGTGGCATCAAAGTGAGTCTTATCCACGTTGAGGAAAAAATTCGTGCTAAATCCAATATTAGGGCCTTTCCCCTACCACTCGTGAGTCCATCGGCTTGCCTTGGCTTAGCAACAGTCTCCATTTACTTGGTATTCCTATCGAGAGCAAACAGCCCTGCAGTTGTGCGGTTCGTCCTTTTTGACCCATGTAATCTGGTGCAACGTAGGAAACGGATAACGAGGTTTCCCCTTCACTGTCCTTGTCAGGGTCTGGGAGAAATTACAACATATCACGTCAGTAAACCAGCATGGACGGATTCAGGATTTTGCTACTAGGGATTCTTGAGAGGGGATAAAAATTACCTTTCTCTGTGATTTAAATGTGAAACACTAAATGAGGACAGTAATATTATGTATGCAGAGAATTTACAAAATGATAAATGCTACTGAGAGAAGATCAAGGGAAAGTAAATCCTGCTGTTTGCAGCGGCATTGGCTGGGATCATATTGATGTCCGAGGATTGAATGCACACGACATTTAAGTGGCAAACAACCCTGGGGTCTCCAGTAATGCGGTGGCTGACTTTGGGACAACTCTGATGTTAAGCGTCTGCTGGAAGGTAAGATGGATTAAGTGTATTTGTAACTCTGTCCTATTGTGGTGAAGCTCAAAGACAAACATTGGTGCTGGTGACGTAGGATGTAGGAGACAGGGTCAGGGGGGAATGGCATTATCAGGAAGCTTGGTAGGGGATAAGGCTCCTGTCTGTTTCTACAAGGGAAATCGGTGATCGAAGTCGCAGCAAATGATAATTTTCGTTCTTCTTCCCGTCAGCATTATTTTTCTGAATGTTCACCTACCACTTCAAGTAGCTTCCTACAATGTATATGCTGGTGGAATACAAAAAGAGATAGAATTATAAAGATCTGATCGATATATAACATGAACAAAATTTCGTTATTATGTCTAAAGTATACTGACTTACTTCATGTAGTAAGAAACAATCAGTGTCATTGTATGTTACAAACGTTCATGAAAACTTTACTTAATAATCGGGAGAATAAATGCACGACAATTTAAAATAACCGGTGCACAGTAGCCTTTCACAGATGATAAGAATGTGAAATAAAATTTTATTCGAAAATAACTGGTTCTGATAGTAGAGGGTTGCAAATTGCGTTAGCTGTGATGATTGTTATTTGTGATGTGATGTCTAATGTGTCTGATGAAAACACAATGGACTATGACAAATGTAGACCTGGTAGGAAATAATCAGTGTCAGTGTATTCATGTTTTAAACGTACAAATATCTACATGCCTTTATAAATATAACTGCGGTACAGTAGCTTTTCACAGATGATGAAAATGTGAAATAAGAATTAATTCGAATAAGATTTCTGAAAATAACTGATTTTGATAATTGAGGCTTGTAAATTGTGTCAGCTGTGATGTACCTGTTTATTTTTTTTTCGAAACAAATATGCTTTTTTTTTTTCAAAAACAAAAATAATTATCTAACTGAACTGACTCAGAGAGGTGGAGTGGTTGTACCCTCTACTGAAGTCACAGGAAGGTTTTTTCATTGGATATTGTATAAATCTTTCTCAGGCTATTTCTCTACTATTTTCCGTGCTGTGGGATATCAGGTCAAAATGATGTTAGAGTACATTGGCTCAGTGCGATAGGCTCAACAAACACATTACACTATTTGAACCTTTCTTTTTTTAATAAACATGTTTCAAAATTAGACTTTAATAATGATTATTATAATTATCATTGTATCTATTAATATGTCTTATTAAAGTTTTTGTTTAATGTTAAACCTGTGCGTTAAATGTCCTTCTTCTTGTATATTTTGTTGTGCTTTTTCATCATCCAGTGTAAATTAACGTATGCATCTTACTTATTACTTCGAGTACCCTCAGACATAAAACCATGCAATTTGAAAAAAAATAAAAAAAAAAAAACGTAATGTGCAGAAACGACGTCAACCTTTGAAATTATCTCTAACTGATAAAAGGGAATTGTTGAAATCGGTAGAATTAAAACGAGGGAAGGAAGATAAAAGGATAGCGTGCTCAAGTGGTAGCGCTGTTAGATAGCTAAATATAAAGATACTAAAACTTTGTCAAACTTGTGCTTATACCGACTCTAAAGGACTTAAATCGCGAATGATATACTACAGGGGTAAAACAGGGGCGGATCCATAGATATGTTCTCAAAGTCTTCCAAATTATCTTTTTTTGACCAATCCTTCATTTTTGACCGTCTTTCAACAGAAAAAAATAAATACCCGTCAATGTAAACTTGAATATCTGACCGTCTTCCAGAAGACCCAGAAGACGACCTCAATCCGCCCCTGTATAAAGTGCAACGGAGAAAACATACTCTAGTTCTATCAGGATGTATTTTTAGCCTCGATAGTCGACAGCACAGGGTGGAATGATGCCTAATTTTCGGTTCGTATCTAGCATACTGGTACAACATGATACAAGGCTATCACTGGTGATGACCCCAGTTAGTGATTATAGTATTTCATGTGATGGGCGAGCCGTTAATTGATCACTCATAATACGTGTGTCATCACGTACACCAGAGTAATTAAGTGTGTGTCCATGATAAGACCAGTCAGAGGGTGGCAAGGTGGGGGTCAGCAGATTTCAACCAAATTCATAATATTGTTGCATATATAGGAGATATTAAGATTGAAGGCAACAATCCCAAAAGAAATCATTGGATATAATTATAATATGATATTATATGTTTTGGCCACTTTTTGGCTTGTTTTT